GGGGAGGGGGTAGGAGGCGTAGAAGGCAAGGAGAAGGGGTAAGGTGGGTGAGGTACAGAGGTGACCCCGGGCGAGCTTGTTTCGGCGAGGTAATTAAACTGTAAATGGGTTAGAGGGGGGAGGGGTGATTACAGGCCATCGCTGTGCAGAGGAATGTGCGTTGGCCTGCGCTGGATATGTTGCTGGATGGAAGGAGGGCTCTCGGGATAGAAGTCCCGAGAGGACGGCCCAGCGGCGACGAGGACGGAGGAGCGACGGAAGGGGCGAGGATGCAAGACCGCATAGAGGTGGCCCCTGGAGGAGCCAGAGGCTGAGGAACCCGTCTTGTTTACACATTCGGGGCTTAGCGGGATTTACAAGCGCTCAGGAGGTCGGGATTTACCAGTGTAGATGGCTAAACATACAAAAGTAATCCCAGCGGATTCGCGGCCGCGGGATTACACGCCACAGACACACTGCCAGGTCTTCTTATCCCGCAGGACACACTGCCGGTTTTGCATTTGTAATTCTACGTTTCCTTTTCTTCGGACGTGAAACATAAAAGAGAGAAATCGAAATGGGAACTTCATTTCGCAGGCAACAAGGGAAACGCCATGAAGGTTTAAAACGCCGAAATTCATAGCGACGCGCCCGGCCTCTCGAAGGAACGGGTTGGGCCGAGAAGCCAACTCGGCCCATTTATCACAGGCGAGGCCGTTAATCCCGGGCTCGGGACGGGGATCATAAGCCCTCGCGGCGCACTAAATCACCTCAGGTTCAGAGGGACAGAAGACGCGAAAGGCGAAAGGAAATCCGACGAGCCGTGAGCAAGGAAGGCCAGCGGTTCGCAGAACTCAAAATACGGACGTAAACATACACGTTCTGGGTTGTGGTGGAGAATGCAGGGAAGTCAGCCACTTGGGTCAGTGCATGTCACCTGAAAACTTGGTTTCCAGTGTGTTGGTATGTAGGAGATAGATTGGCAGAAAGAAGATAGGCGAGGGAGAGAGAGAGAGAGAGAGAGAGAGAGAGAGAGAGAGAGAGAGAGAGAGAGAGAGAGAGAAGAGAGAGAGAGAGAGAGAGAGAGAGAGAGAGAGAGAGAGAGAGAGAGAGAGAGAGGAGAGAGAGAGAGAGAGAGGGGGGGTGGATGAAGGAGAGAGAGAGGGGGGGTGGAGATGAGAGAGAGAGAGAGAGGGGGGGGGGAGAATGGAGGAGAGAGAGAGAGAGGGGGGGGGGATGGAGGAGAGAGAGAGAGAGAGAGAGAGAGAGAGAGAGAGAGAGAGAGAGAGAGAGAGAGAGAGAGAGAGAGAGAGAGAGAGAGAGAGGGGGAGAGAGAGAGTTAGAAGAGTAGAAAGAAGATAGGCGAGAGAGAGAGAGAGAGAGAGAGAGAGAGAGAGAGAGAGAGAGAGAGAGAGAGAGAGAGAGAGAGACAGACAGACAGACAGACAGACAGAGAGAGAGAGAAGAGTAGAAAGATGATAGGCGAGAGAGAGAGAGAGAGAGAGAGAGAGAGAGAGAGAGAGAGAGAGAGAGAGAGAGAGAGAGAGAGAGAGAGAGAGAGAGAGAGAGAGAGAGAGGCCTCAAGACAAATCCACTGAAATAATTGCTCTTATTCTTGACCTCTGGCAAATTGGCAACCTCGCGGGGATGCTGCCGGTGCCTCTGAGCGAATCGTCCCAGAATCCATCGCTCGGCGGCCGCGGGCGAGCAGCGGCGGCGCGGACGAGGCTTTTCGGGAAGAGCGAAGAGCTCCGACGAGGACCTGCGGAGCGGGTGTGGCGGCGGTGCCAGGTAGCCTTTTCGGGCTCAGCGCTTGGCGTCATGACTGCCTCCGCCTCCGCCGGCCCCGACCCGACTCGTCGGCCCTTCGCCCTCGACGTGCCCGACGTGAGCGCGACTCGACATCCGGGCGACGCCGGATCGGGGCTCGGATCGCTATCTACTGCCGACTTCAAGGCTCGAGCGGAGGAGGCGTCGGCTCTCTGGCTTCGGGCGGCTCGGGGCTCGAGGGACGGGGAAATATATGCAAACACACACACACATACACACATACATACATACATACATTCATACACGATATATATATACATATACATATGTATATATACATATATATATATATATATATATATATATATATATATATATATATATATATATATATATATATATATATCGTGTATATATATATAAGACACACACACACACACACACACACACACACACACACACATATATATATATATATATATATATATATATATATATATATATATATATATATATATATATATATATTATATATTTGTATTATATATATTTATATCATATATATTTATATTATATATATACACAAATATATGTATGTATATATGTATATATATACATATATATTTATAAGTATTATATATATACATATATATATAGTTTATGAGTGCCCCTCGATCCCCCCGACGGAGGCATCCCGGCCGGGCTCCCGACGGCATCCCCGAGCAAGGTCAGTGTAAATACTTACATAGCC